CCCCAAAGACTCATTTGCTAACTTTCCTTTTTTTTTTTTTTTTTTTTTTTTTGTGTGTGTTTCTCTTTTCTTTTTCTGTTTTCTTACATGGTTCTGGTGGATTCACATTTGCTGATGCTGGTGCTGTTTTTCGTGTGATCTTCAACATTTTTGGGTGACCATGACCCTGTGACCTCAAAATGGTGTCCAACTAACTACTTACAATTAACATCTTTTTTTTATTAACGAATTTATGGTATTATCTTTTTTTTTTCCCTTGGTGGGGAATGGGGTTGGGCTGTTTTTTTTCTGTTCTAGATTATCCTGCCAAGAAGATGAAGACTACAGAGAAGGGATTTGGCTTAGTGGCTTATGCTGCAGATTCGTCTGATGAAGAGGAGGAACATGGAGGTCATAAAAATGCAAGTAGTTTTCCACAGGGCTGGAGTTTGGGCTATCAGTACCCTTCATCACAACCACGAGCTAAGCAACAGATGCCATTCTGGATGGCCCCGTAGGAAGCAGTGGAACAGAGTTTTGACCTCGGAGACTTCTTAGCAATAATGCATGTGTTTGATTTAACAAGACTTGGGGCCTGTGCTGGGAGCCATCATGGACCTTGCAGAAGTTAGAAATGCAGTGTCCCTTTTTCTTAAAGGGATTCCATTCTTTTTAAAAACATGTCTGCAGTGACATTAACTTCTGTTAAAATTTACTTAGATCACAAATTTGTCTCAGAGCTTTTCTAACAGTTGGTGAAATGTGCTTGTCAGATGACACATCCCAGTAGGATGATTCCCATGTACATTTGAAAGGTCCAGCCTTGTCCAAATGAATACCACAACCTTCACCTAAAGAAAGGTTTATTTGTATTTTACTACTGTTGGGTCAATTTTGATATTCACTGGTTACAAACAAAGCCTTACTATTTATTAGTGGGGAAATACTTTTAAAATTGTCTTTTGCTTTCAATATTTAATTCTCAGAGATCCTCATCCCTATTTCAGTTTGGATTCTTCGTTTTGAAAATTGCTGTTTTACTAATGTAAAAATACTTGATACAGATGGATCCTGAATAGGAAAACGAAATTATTTTTAATTGTGTCTTTTTATTGGGATGATGTGAAGCTGGCACCTTCAGGCACATTTGTTCAGACAGCCATTGCCCTTCTAAACTCTGTCTCCAGCTGGGTCAGAGACAAGAACTTGACTAAAAGCTGGTCAGAAGTCATCACAGAAATGAAACACAGTGGTCTGTCTGTCATAGAACTGGTTGCAGCTAAGAGAGGTTTGACTACATCCAGTAGGATGGTGGACTTAGTGACTGAATTGCAACTTGTCCTTTTTTCTTGGCGTTACAGGTTTTGCCAAAAGAACTTTTTTGTATCAAATATTGATGTGTGAAAGTGAAGGAGCTAGTCTGCTGAACCAGGAATAGTTTGAGATTCTGAACTGTCATTTTTGCACATTGGAATACTTTGCAGGCTGGCTTTGTACAAACTTAATCTCTGGTTTCCTATATGTTGTAAATAATTAGACCATAATTTCAATATAAATAAATGTATAAATATTCAGCTTGTGGTTTCTGTGTTCTTTTTCTTCCACAACTCACCCATACACTAAAACAACTGGGTACAGTGAAGCATGCAATGTAAACCCAGCACTCTGAAAGCTGGGGCAGGAGGACCACAGTCATCTCAATGCCAGTCTGGGCGACATAGTTCAAGGACAGCCCCAACTGCATAGCAAGACCCTGTCTCAAAAAAAGCTTTTTACTCAGCTGCGTAATGCAATTACAGACCCCCCCCCATAATGTGTACAGACTCAAACTTTGCATATAGTTCTGAGAGTTTGTAACTCTTCAAAGTATGTGCTTAAAGCCCAGATGAAAAGTTCTTAATTATCCTAGATATGTTCCATTTCATACTATTGCCCTCCTTTATTTCACAGAGGGTCAAGGGGACCAAATGAAACACTTTAAGACAAAAGGTTACTGAAAAGCAGTGGGGCTGGTGATATAGCTCAGCAGCACAGCCCCTACTTGGCAAACTCGAGGCTGTGAGTTCGAATCCTGGTACTGGAAAAAAAAAAAAGCAGTGGGCATAAGTTGGATCAGAAGAGAAATATTCCAGTGTAAAGTTCCTTCTAGTGCTGTGTGCTCTGCCTACAGGTGTGTGTAGTTATTACCTCGACTTTTTTCCTTTGTGCCAGAGTAGTACATTGTACAAGCAAATTTTTCTTATATGTCTGTTTAGACTACAGAACTCTACTTAGGATAACCGTTAACATCCAATCTTGAAGATTACTCTTGGTTTGAAGAGCCAAGTGTGACTCCTTTGTGAATGGGCGCTCTCTACCTTGACCCAGGCTCCTGCTAGGACCTCAGCCCCGATTTGGTGAAAGGGTGGGCGGTTGTGCCTTTCACCATTTCCTCTTTTCGCAGCGCTTGAACAAAGTGTTTTAGTCCCCTGGCCGGCCACGGTTACTTTCTCCTGGCCTGATCTGTTTCTGTCACGCCCATATGCTTGCAAACTAGGAACGGTTCTTGAACGGCCTTTCCAAGTGTCTCGGAACTAGGTCTGGGGACGTCCCGCCCCCGGGGCGGGGCGGGCGTCACGGTGGCCTGGCCCTTCCCGCTGGGACGCGGCCTGTGGCGCCATCTTTCCCAGCTCGGCCGTGGGAGCGATCACGGGTCAGTTGTGGGGTCTGGGGACCGAGGAACGCGGAGAGCCCAGCCTGTCCGCACCGTCCGGAGGTGCCGTGCGGGGCGGGGCAGGGCGCGGCGGGTGCGACCCCAGGTACGCCGGGCAAGGGGCGCGGGCCGGGAGGGGCGCGGCCGGCGCCGGCGGGGAGGGCTCTGGGACCCTGGGGTCCCGAGACTCGGCCCGGAGGGCCTTGGGGCTTCAGCGGCCACACAGCGACTGTCGCTCAGCTCCTCCCTGCTCGTGCTGGAGTGCCATTCTGAGGAGATCTGAATTTCTTTGTCTCCTTATGTTTAAGTCGGAAACCCTGTGATGTGTCACGGGACTGAGGACGAGGTTGTGGGGCTTTTTAGGGTTCATTCCGCAGTGAGCAGCAGGCGCAGGCCAGGCTCTGTGGAGGCGGGCGTGCCAGCCCCGCCGTGCCGCGCTGTCCCGTCCTGCACTAAATGCGCTCTGCTTTCCTTCTAGGCAGCTTTTCCTTGGGGCGGCGCAGGGCCCCCAGGAGCGCGATGGACTCCGGAGCTCGCCCCGCGGGTGGCAGCTGTAGCAGTCCTGCCGGGCTGTCCCGGGAGTACAAGCTGGTGATGCTGGGTGCCGGCGGTGTGGGCAAGAGTGGTAGGTGACATTTGGCGTTTTACAAGATGTGAAACAAATGACCCCTACTCAAGCCAGATAGGATACTGGGTAGTGTGCAATATTGATACTAGACATTCTTTTGTGGGTCACCTTCGGAGGGTTTTAACTTTCATTTCTTGTTTTGAAGCTATGACCATGCAGTTTATCAGCCACCGATTTCCCGAAGACCATGACCCTACCATTGGTAAGTCAGACCCTCGCTGCAGTTCCCAAACTTGCTAAGAAGCCGTCCTGGAGAATGCCAGTTTTAAAAGGCTATTTCTAATTTTATTTTGAAGCCTCCCCTTTTTGGCATCTAATTCAGATTTATTTAGAGGTAGTGATACCATAGAAGTTGTTAAGCAATTTAGTATTTCCTTTTTTCTGGGTTTAACTCTGTATGTATGTCAGTCACCTTTACTTCTGTCATGAGCTGAGCATTAATAGGACAACTTTCTGTGCATAGTTTGGTTCCTATGCTGTATGGTCACACCAAAGGGAAACGCTGCCTAGTGAAGCCTTTTGGCTGTCACTTCTCTAAGGGTCTAACTTGAGGCTGACTGTAAGTATGAGTCAGCTGGTTTGAACTTCCACAAAAGGAAGCAGAAAAACAAGTAGAGCCAGCCTACTGAACTCTTAAAACTAGGCGTACACGGCCTGAGTGTCTTCCACTTGAACCCTTCACTTATTTCCTTATACCTGAAGTTCATTGTACAGTGATATCTTCTCCGTGTCTCTCTGTGTTGTCACAGTACTAGTAGAGTTAAAAAGTCATTTTGTTTGCCTTACCTTTTCATTTTCTTAATTCCCATTCTCTACAAACACTAAGGACATTGCTGTCATTCCTCAACCAGTAGGAAGCAGGTTGGAGTCTAAGGGGTTACGTTCTTGTGTAACTGCGGTGGGTGGGGAGGGCACATAAAGTCTGAAAAGGTATTTCATATGTGGCATTTTGCCACGGCGAGGGCTTTCCACTAGGCCTGGCTGCTGCTCTGTATTCCACCAAGCAGTGAGTGTTCATGGCAGCCCAGCTTTGGGTATAGTTATATAGTAGGTACTTCTGTGGATTTGGGTGAAATCGAAACTGTTCCTTTAAAAAAAAAAAAAAAAGAAAAAGAAAAAGAAACAGTTCTTGTTTTTTCTGTACTATATCAGATTTGGGCATGGGGGACACTGAGGATCCAACCCAGGACCTTCTGTAATCTAACTACATACTTCACCACTGAGTGACACCCAAACCCCGGTATATCAAACTTGGAACATTGTCCTATGGGTGGGAGTTTTAGGAATAAAATCAGTTTAGGGACCTGGGGATGTAGCCCGCTGTAGAGTGCTTATGTAGCATGTGTAAGGGCCTGGATTCAGTTCCTAGCACTGCCCCCCAAAAGAAAACAGTTTAGGAGTTAGGATTATTTACTTAAAATTCCAGAAACATTTCCTTTCTTCAAAATAAAACTCATATTTGTTCTAATGGATACTTTTTAGTGTTTTCTCTTTTGTTTAATTTGGTGTTTTTTATTTTGCTTTTCCTCTTTTTTCCTTTCTCTTTACTGTGCTAGGATCAAGCCTTGTAGACCTTATGCAGTCACTCTACTACTATGATATACCCAAGCCCCGTGAGGTAGCTTTTTTTTGAGACAGGGTCTTGCTATGTGCAGGCTGGCCTTGAACTCACTATATAGCCAGGCTGGCTGGCCTTCAACTTGCCGCAATCCTCCTGCCTCAGCCTCTGGGCTGCTGGGATTATAGGTGTGTGCCACCACACCCAGTTTCATGAGGTAATTTTGAAAACTGTCCATCCCCCCTCAGTGTTACCACCTGTTTTCCTGACAGTATTCTCTGATAAATACTGTGTCTCTTAATTGCTATTATGTACCAACCACTGTGACAGGACTTCAGGTACAGTGGTAAGCAAAAACATAAGGTGACTACTGTGATTGACAGCTTGGTGTATTTTGTTTTAAACTTTGGCTAGAAACTCTAAGAAGGAAAAATTTACATTATAGCCACTACAGTTATAAGTATGAAAGTGAATATGTCTGAGTACTTCTTTATTAGCACATATTTATGTATATGAAACTAAAATATGAAACTATATTTTCCTTACTACTTGTGGTACTCCCTCATATTTTCTATTTTATTTAGGTTTTTGTTTATTTATTCTAATGTTAGTCTCAGACCATTAGGTCGATTTCACAACTCACTAATCCTAGTAGATCATTACTTATAGTTTAAGAAACATGGATTTAGCTGGGTGTGGCAACACAGGCCTATAATCCCAGCACTCTGGGAGGTTGAGGCAAGAGACTGTAAATTTGAGCACAGCTTGGGTAGTGATTTAGTGAGACCCTATCTCAAAATAAAAACTTTTTTTTGAAAACAGGATGGAGGCTGGGTGTGGTAGTGCACGCCTGTAATCCCAGCACTTGGGCGGCTGAGGCAGGAGGATCGTTGCGAGTTCAAGACCAGCCTGGGCTACAAAGTGAGCTCAAGGCCAGCCTGAACTGCATGGCAAGACCCTGTCTCAAAAAAGACAAAAATAAATAAATAAATAAATTAATTAATTAATTAATTAAAACAGGACTGAGGATATAACTCATTATAAAGGCCCTGGGTTCAATCCCCAGTGCTAAGAAAAGAAAAGAGGAGAGGAGGGAAGGGGAGAAGAGAAGAGAGGAACATTGATTTAATGTGCTCTTCATCTTTGAAGAGGAGTTAGAAGCAAAGATTTATAAAAATTGTTAAAAGGAAGTTCATTAGGATATAAATGGCAGTTGCTTTTGAGTGATGAAAATATTGAGTTTCTCTTATTTTCTACTTTTCTATATTTTGCAGGTGTATTATAATGTGTGTGTGTATATATATATATATATATATATATATATATATGAAGCCAGGCATGGTGGTACATACTATAATTCAAGCTATTGGAGAGACTGAGGCAGGAGGATCTTGTGCCCAGGAGTTTGGAACCAGCATGAGGAACACAGTGAAACCCTCTCTCTTAAAATAATAATAAAGCCAGGCGTGGTGGCACACGCCTGTAATCCCAGCACTCAGGAGGCTGAGGCAGGAGGATCTTTGCAAGTTTAAGACCAGCCTGGACTACAAAGTAAGCTCAAGTTCAGCCTGAACTGCATAGCAAAATCCTGTCTCAAAAAGACAAAAAATATATATATAATAATAATAACATATGCAAAAAAGAAATTTGCTTTCATAAAGGAGGAATTACGATGATTCTTTAGAAAATAATGGTTTTTCCTTTTTCTGTAGTAGTAAAATGAAGACGAACTATAGTACATAGGCTTTTGAGTGCAGCAATCTTGAGTTTTATTCTATCTCTGTCACTAATTAACTCTAATTTGAAGTTTTTTTTTTTTTTTTAGATGGGGTCTTGCTATATAGTTCAAACTGGTCTTAAACTCACTATGTAAAAAAACAAAACAAAACAAAACAAAAAATCTCACTATGTAGCCAAGGCTGGCCTCAAACTCATAAAAATCCTCCTGCGTCAGCCTCCAAGTGTTGGAATCACAGATGTGCACCATGGCCAGGCGTGGTGGCACACGCCTGTAATCCCAGCCTGTATTTCCCAGCACTCAGGAGGCTGAGGCAGGAGGATCATTGTGAGTGTGAGACCAGTCTGGGCTACAAAGTGAGCTCAAGGCCAGCCTGAACTGCATAGAGATACCCTGTCTCAAAAAAAAAAAAAGACAGATGTGAACCACCACAACTCATCTCAGAAACTTTATAGCATAGAATTATAGTTAAAGCCTTATAAATTTAAGCTATGAATAAACTGTGTTACCACTCTATGAAAAAAATAATACCTGAGTTGAACACCCAGCTTACATCTCCCAGTGGATTTATCATGCTTCATGAGAAATTTGTACACTTAAAAGAAGTTGGGTAGAATCAATGTCTTCATGATTCTTTTTTGGAGAGGTGTGATACTAGGGATTGGATTTAAAGGATTATTTAGTTTTTTGGGGGTGGGTAGTTCTTTTTTTTTGAGACAGGGTCTCACTATGTATTCCAGACTGGCCTTGAATTTGCTATGTAGCCCAGGCTGCCCTCATATTCACCACAGTCCTGCTACCTCAACCTCCTGAGTACTGGGATTATAGGTGTGTGTCACATACCTGGCTTTTTTTTTTTTTTTTTTTTTTCTTTTTTTGAAATAGGATCTCCCTAAGTTGCCCATGCTGGGTTCAAACTTGTGATCCTTCTAAAATAGGTATTTCTTCATTTGTTCTCGCTCTCTTTTTTTTTTTTTGGTACTGGGAATTGAACTCAGGACTTCATACTTGCTAGACAGGTGCCACTGAGCTTCTTCCTTTGTATGTAATTACTAGTACAGCTTTCTTTGCTCCTGTAGAAGATGCTTATAAAATCCGGATCCGTATTGACGATGAGCCTGCCAATCTGGACATTTTGGATACAGCTGGACAGGTATTAAATCCCAGAATGCTATGAGTTAAGATATTTTTCCTCAGGTAAAAGGGAGGGGAAGGCTTACGCAGAGATCACTAGTTTATCTCTTTAATTTTCCATGCACGCTGACTCAGGATAGCAGGTAACCAGCATACCTCTTCTTTAATCTGGATGAATAGCTAGTCTGTGGGGTTCTAGGCTGCCTCTACATTACTGACCCTTGTATCCCTCTAGGCAGAGTTTACAGCCATGCGGGATCAGTACATGAGGGCAGGAGAAGGATTTATTATCTGTTATTCTATCACGGATCGCCGAAGTTTCCATGAAGTTCGGGAGTTTAAACAGCTTATTTATCGAGTTCGACGTACTGATGATACGCCAGTGGTTCTTGTGGGAAACAAGTCTGACTTGAAACAGCTAAGACAGGTGAGAAAAGAAAAGAAAACAGCCAGACATGTTGGCACACGCCTGTAATCCCAGCACTCGGGAGGCTGAGGCAGGAGGATCATAGTGAGTTCGAGACCAGCCTGGGCTACAAAGTGAGCTGGAGGCCAACCTGAACTGCATAATGAGACCCTGCCTCCAAAAAGACCAAAACAAAAAACAAAAAACAAAAAAAAGAAAAGAAAACATTGCAGTCTTGTGGGATGAGTCATTTTTGTTTGACTTACAGATTCCTTTGCCTTAAAATGGAAAGATCAACATTAGCTTCTCCCTAACCTTGAAATTTTTCATGTATCTACCAATTTGCTATTACTAAGGATGAAATCTGGATTTTAGGAATCAGTTTATAGGACAGAACTCACTAGAATATAACCAAATGGCAAATGGAGCACCTATTAGGCAAAGGGTCATGGAATGTTCATTTCCTGAGACTTCAGAAATAAAAATGTTTATGTTGCAGCAGGAGAAACTTTGGACTTCACCTTCAGTACCCTTCCTGTGGTGAGGGTTATGAACTCAGGAAGAGGAGACTAAGAAAAGTTGTAGAGGATTTTAGAATAAGAGATACCCTTAAATTAGCAATGACTAGCCAGGCGTGGTGGCGCATTCCTGTAATCCCAGCACTCGGGAGGCTGAGGCAGGAGGATCGTTGTGAGTTCGAGACCAGCCTGGGCTACAAAGTGAGCTCCAGGCCAGCCTGAACTGCACAGAGAGACTCTGTCTCAAAAAGATGGCTAAACATCAATTTTAGGACTGGTCTTGACTACATAGTGAGACCCTGTCTCAAAAAGCAAATAAAAATGTAGGAGAAATTATGGCATATCTATAATTGGCTACATTAACTTGGGGTTTCTAAAAGTTTTCAGTATTATAGTTTAAGTATACATCTCTTTCCCCTGTGCTTTTTTGAGACAGCATCTCACTATGTAGTTTAGACTGGCCTTGAATTTACTATGTGGACCCGGCAGGACTCAAACTCAAGGTGATCCTCCTGCCTCAGCCTCCTGAGTGCTGGGATTAACAGGCATGCATACATATCTGGCTCTTCTTTCTTAAAATGAGATGCATAAAGAAAGTGAAGATTACATATTGAAGGTGGAAGCAACGTTAGAAGTCATGAAATAGGGCTCCCCAAATTGTGACCTCCCTGTGCTTGCACACTTGGAGAGCTGAGCTCTCTTCCTGCTGAGGTAGCCCCCTCACTTTTTCTTTAAGAGTAGGAAAATTTACTGGGGAATAGGAATAACTTCTGAGAGACACAAGGGGTCCCAGATGGGTTGCCCATCCCTCACTTTTTTTGACGGTTGTAATTGTTTCCCATTTTTCCCACTATAAATTTACTCATGTTTATACTTTTAAAGGTCACCAAGGAAGAAGGGTTGGCTCTGGCCCGAGAGTTCAGCTGTCCCTTTTTTGAGACTTCTGCTGCGTACCGCTACTACATTGATGATGTTTTCCACGCACTTGTCCGGGAAATACGTAGGAAAGAAAAGGAGGCAGTACTGGCCATGGAGAAAAAATTTAAACCCAAAAGCAGTGTCTGGAAGAGGCTGAAGTCCCCATTCCGGAAGAAGAAGGATTCAGTAACTTGAAGGGAAGGCTTGGAGTGCTTACCTGTGAACTGCAGTGCTTAATCCAAGCAGCCCAGTAGCCTGCAGTAGTGAGCATGGTACTTGCTCTTTCTCCTGTTAATGACCGTTATTTTTAAAGTAACTGATGAGGGGGACATGGCTACTAGGAGTTTCCAATGATGTGGCATTTAAAGTATTGTTTCTTAGTTGATTCTGATCTATTAACCAGCAGAGCACTGTCTGCTTTTCAGTTGTCACATTAGAATTTGATCTACCACTGTTGGGGTCATGTTGCTGATATTAATCCATGTGAAGCGCTTATACCAGGAGAGCGTGCAGGCCCTGGGTGTTTGACCAAGTGCACAGTGAGTCTTGTGCTGTGTAGCCCTGTCGGTCTTCGCCCTCCATTCCTGGGACTGTCCCAGAGGAGGGCCTCAGTCTGCTTTCTGCACGGTGCTTCCTGGAGACAGAAGGAAAACTCTGAAAGGAAATCAGTGCTAACAAGATCAGTGCCAAAGCCCAGCAACTAGCTGTGGAGCTGGCTCCTGCTGCAGCCCGTGGAGCGGTGAGAGTGGGGAAGCTGGGCCGTGTTCTTACAGGGACTTGCAAGGGCCCAAGCCGGATGAGCCTGGCCTTTCTGAGGCATGCACATTTGCCCCGAGGCGCAGAGGTGGGTAAGAACGGACAGGCGCCTGTAAAGTACAGTGATGGTTTCTTGCAGGAGGCTATTTTACTGTTCAGGGTATGCTTTCTTCCTGCTTCAAAGGTAAACATTTGGGAGCCATTGCTGGGTTGCTAACTTGTTTAAGTCCTTAGTCAGGAGAGCCAGCGCCTTGAACAGATTTGTGTCCCCACAGATGCACACGTCAGTACACAAATTGCTTCCCAGTGCCTGCCCTTCCTTTCTCTTTGCTCTTTAGAAACTTTAGGGCTGACAGAGTGGTTTTTAGGCCCTTCCTTTGACTGACTGCATTTTCCACATAGAAGAAACATCAGGAGTTTGAATATGTTATGTATGTGTCTCCTTGACATCAAAGTCATTAGACTCAGGATTCTAAGCACACCTGTGGCCAGGCATGGTGCACGCCTGTAAATCTCAGCACCGGGGAGGCTGAGACAAGAGGACGGCCTACCTAAACTACATCGTGAGACCCTGTCTCAAAAAACCAAAAAAGAAAAGAAAGCCTATGGTTTTTCTGTTTATTGGGGAGGGGGGTCAGTCTTAAAGCTTTAATATTCACATACAGTTTGTAACCTGAAGATTTCCTTAGAAAGACCTTACAAAGTTCACCTCAGGGTTATGTGAGCCTTGACAAAGTTTAGACTAAGGAAAAAACCACTTGGCTCCATGTACATGTTGAGAAGCTGTAGTCCCAGAAAGCAGCTTTCACTTGGTGCTGAGAGCTCTGTGGTCAACACCTGTGAGTGGAGAGCGCGTGTGGAAGGACTGAGAGCAGCACATCCCGTGCTGAGAATTAAATACTACTGACACAGCATTTGTCTGCTTTAAGCTCTCAGACAACTTTCTGCGACACCCCTGGAAAAGCACGTGGCTGAACTTGTTATTTTCCATTGCTATTAAAAGCAAGAAGACAGGGTTATTGTGTTTTTCTATATAAATCAATGGTCTATGGTCCAGATTTAAAGAAAAGTGACTGGCAGAGCTTTTTTTTAAGCTCTGAGTAGTGGTCCCTTTTCAAACTCCTGAAACCCTTTTGCCACCAGATCAATCCCGTTTCTGGTACTCAGCCCGTCTAAATGCGAGTTGAGCCTGTGCAGGGTGTCTCACAGGGACCATGGCGCCGGGAGAGTCCTGGAAGCAGAAAAGAAAAGACAGCGCAGCCTATTACGGTATTATACCTTGTCTAAACCGGTTTAGACCCTTTACCTTTCATGCCTTACCTTCTCGTTACTAATGACCTAGGGAATTGTCATTAGCACCAAGCAAGAAAGTGTCAGTTTTATAATTATTGAAGATATCAAGGCAAGAACATTTCTGGCAAGAAGGACCTGTAAGAAGTGAATTTGTACACCATATAGGAAAAGAAAGTGTTTTTGAGACTGTGACCTTTGGATAAACTAATCCCTTAGTGCTGAGTCGGATTGTGCTAGATGGTTAGCACTAGGCGGTTTCAGGGTGTAAGTCGTAGCTTTATTCTTAGTGACCAGAGTGTAGGTAATTTATGAGCTCTGAGTAATCTCCTTTGTCCAGTTTGTGGGCATTAACATTAATTACCACCTGGAACTTCAAAGAGAAAAATTCAAGGCCGAGTTGAAAGACACTGGAACTATACACACTGGATCAGTACGCCAAGACTCAAAAGCTAAAGCTGGATGGGGTGGCACGCGTCTGTAATTCCTGCACTTGGGAGTCTGAAATAGAAGAATCAGGAGTTCAAGGCCAGTTTGGACTAAAAACCAAAACAAAACATTGAAAAGCTAGTGTCTAGAATCAGCTGTTCAGAATCCAGAAGGGGCGGGCTGGGGATTTAGCTCAGTGGCACAGCACCTGCCTGGCAAGTGCAAGGTTGTGAGTTCGATTCCCCGCACCAGAGAAAAAACAAAAAAAAAAAAAACAAAAAAAACCAGAATACAGAAGGGACCGGTGATGTATTAGCAAAGTGGGCCCACTGTGGTGTTTGGGAAGAGGGGAGTTTTCCCCTCATGCACTTGTATATGAAGACAGTTTGTATGACACAATACAAAACTTTTAAACAATTTTGTTGGGCTTTTCTTTTGCTTACCTGTAAGTGGGTAGAAATATTTGGAATCATTACAAAAAAGATGATTTTAAGAAGAAATATATAAAGCTGTGGGTGTATCTCAGTGTAGACTATATTGCCTAGCATACTTGAATCCCTAGGTTCAATCCCCAACACCTAAAAAGGAAAAAAATACCATGAGATTTTATATTCTAGGAAACAATAATAGAAAAAAAAAATTGAACATTGTGGTTGCACATGCCTGTCATCTGAACTACTAGGGAGAGAGAATGCAGGGACCAGCATTCAGCCTGCGGAGATGAGGGCACAGCTCTGAGGGAGGGGTCAGACCGGTCCATTCACAGAAGCATCCAGATTTTATGGACTTGCTGGGGTGGGGTAGTCTGGCTGTCGTCGTCTCAGTTCTGGTTTTGCAAGATGGCTTTAGAGGTGTCCTTAGTCCTCACTGCTTGAGGGGACAATATGATCCCCAGAAGACGGCTACTTCTGCTGGCGGTGGGGTAGTCTTGGGAGGCTGCCTGGGGTGTAGGCTGACTGGGTACCTGCTCACCTGTTACCTTGCTGTCCTGGGTCTGGAAGGTGTGGGAACAGGTGCTGTGAATTCAGGCCTCAGCCTGTGTAGATGCTGTTACGGTTTGTGTCTGGATGTTCCCCAAAGCCTCATGTAGTCATGGGTCGGGCTTCTAGAGTTTATGATTGATCTATGATCCAATGCTGGGATTATGGGTGTGAGAGCTACACCCGGCCTTGGGTGGATAGTTTGCATATGTAAGGGGGAGAAAGAGGCTGCCCTCCTGCTGTCCTCCATTTTGCTCTTGTTGCTTTTGCTATCTTCCACTGCCATGAACTGTTGCCCTCTGCCATGTGCCCCCCTCATTGGAGGCAGCCAAGTATGGGCTGAAACCTCCACAAACTGTGAGCTAAATAAACCTTTCCTGTGGAGGACATTTTTTGATTAGAAGGCATTGAGGACACAATGATTTGTTTATTATTTGTTAGACTTTCTTAAGATAAGGCTTCATTATATAGCCCGGATTTGCCTTGAGTTTACACTCCTCCTGTCTCAGCCTCTTGAGTTCTGGGATTACAGCCATGTGTTGGATTACATGTTGAGAAGGATAATCCTTTAATTATCCTTGCTAAAATGGTTGGTATCTCCCCATTTATACTAGCTATGTCCTTGGTTTTTGCTCAATAAAAGGTGACTGAAAAAGAAATGAACTACTAGGGAGGCTGAGACAGGAGGATCACAAAGTGGAGGCCAGCCTGGGCAATTTAGAAAGACCCTGTTTGAAGAAATAAAAGGGGCTGGGGTATAGCATGGTAGTAGAGGGCCCCTGGGTTTGATCCCCAGCTTAAGAAAAAAAAATGTTTTTGAGCGCTTAGTACAGATGCCTTGTGGGAAGTGTTTGTGAGCACGCCACAGAAGGACTTTGGATTGAAGGGGTGACGTCTGCATGAGGTGACAGGGAAACACAAATGGAAGAGGGTGGCACAGCCCGCGCAGCCCAGAGCCGTGCGGTCACCGTAAGAGGAGAATTGCACATGTGAAGGTCATTGCTTTTGTTTTTTCTGCTTTAAGTGGGTACCAGTATTGGGAGAAAGGACCTAGTTGGGACATTAAAGGAATGTATTTGTGTCTTCGTTATTTAGCACTTTTTAATATTTACTTGGTGGCACTGGGGATTGAACTCAGGACCTTTGTACTCTGCTATATCCCCAGCCTTTTTTTTATTTTGAGAGTATCTTGCTAAGTTGCTAAATTGCCCACTCTTGATTTTCTTTTTTGTTTTGTTTTTTGAGACGGCGTCTGATGGCACACACCTGCAATCCCAGCACTCAGGAGGCTGAGGCAGGAGGGTCAACCATGAGTTCAAGGCCAACCTGGTCTGCGTAGTAAGTCCAAGGCCATCCAGAACTATATAGCAAGACCCGTCCTCGAAAAACAAAAACAAAAAGTGAGGATCGTACTATGTAGTCCAGTGTAGCCTTGAACTCATTATGTATCCAGGCTGGCCTTGAACTCGAAGCGGCCCTCCTGCCTCAGCCTCCCAAGTACTGGGCTTCTAAGTGTGTGCCACCACATCTAGGCAAGACTTAAACCTGTGATCTACTGCCTCAGTCTCCCAGAGTGCTAGGATTACATGTGTGTGCTACCATGCCCAGCTTTTTTTAAAGTTTTTTTGGGGGAGGTGGGGTACCAGGAGTTGAACTCAGGACCTAATGCTTGCCAGGCAGGCGCTGTACCACAGAGCTAAATCCCCAGCTCCCCAAAAAACACATTTTTTGAAGCATCAATAAATATTTTTGTTTTTTTTTTTTTGTTTTTATTTTTCTCCGGTACCGGGAACCGAACTCACGACCTTGCGCTTGCCAGGCAGGCGCTTTTGCCGCTGAGCTAAATCCCCAGCCCCCTGAAGTGTCAATAAATATTGATGTTGACCACAACTGAAATGAGGGTAATGGAGGATGGCATTTCGTTTTCTAGTGTAGCTTCCCTTAGGTGATGGAATTACACCCCAAGGTGCCAAGCACAGTTTTAAAGCTGTGAGGAATTCAAGGAATATAAAATATTCTTGCTCAAGAGATTAGATAAAATTTACATATTCAGCTGAGGATGTAGCTCAGTGGTACAGGAATGCTTGTCAGTCATATTAGAGGCTCTGGAGTCAGTTCCCAGAATAGTGATAAATACATGAATACACCAGGCACCATTGTGCAAGCCAATAATCCCAGCTACTCAAGCTGAGGCAGGAGGATGTCAAGTTGAAAGCCAGTCTGGGCAACTTTATGAAGCTATCTCAAAATTGAAAGAGGTGGGGAGTCAGGCATATGAGGTAGAGAACTTGCCTAGTATGTGACAATAACCAGTACCACCAAAAAAAAAGTGGAAGGGTCCTGAACTGTTCTATGCTGACAGTGGCGGAGTTCGGTGAGGCACTGGCCAGGCTATCTGATGGCCCAGCCGAAGCAGGCAAGGTTCACTGCGCATGCGCATCACTCCACGTGGGCCCACCGTGAGTTCCTGTATGGAGAAGCTAGCTAGTCTCATACAGTTGCACTGGAAACTCCCTCTGGCTGTGTGCCCGGCTTCACCCACACTACTGCCCCAGCACTGGCTTGCGCAGACTGTACAGGAAGGAGGGCAGGAGGCCCTCCCAGCGGAGAATGACAGGAGCAAAGGAGTTGGCTGAAGAACCACAGGAGAACTGTCAGTCAGGTCAGCATCGGGCTGTCAACGAATCTGTCGGTGTTAAAAAGTAACGAGTCAGTTGTTCACAGAGAAATTTATTTATTTGGAATTCAGGAATTCCACGTCATTCTATAAATGTGAATTCTCACATAAATAAATAAATTTTGCATATACAAATCAGCCAGAGATCAATTCCCCACTCCACCCACAACGGTGCTGGTGCCAGAGGTCAGTACAACCCAGGACCTTGGCATGCTGAGCAGAGTTCTATCGTGAGCTGTCCTCTGGCCCTAAGATCAGTCCTGAGGTGCAGTAGGTTGTATGCTTCAATCCTGGAATAGTACAGGAATCCAAAAGAGGGAGTTAGCTGGTCCACATCAGATAAGGAGAAACTGGCTTTTGGGGTTTTTTTTTGGAGGGGGGTTTTGGTCTTTTTGAGACAGGGTCTTGTTGTGCACTTCAGGCTGGCCTTGAGCTCACTTTGTAGCCCAGGCTGGTCTCTAACTCACAAAGATCCTCCTGCCTCAGCCTCCTGAGTGCTGG